GGCCTCGTGGCCTCACTTATGAGACACACCTGTGAGGCGGCCTCGTGGCCTCACTTATGAGACACACCTGTGAGGTGAGAGCCGGCGCTTCCTTAGGCACCAGGTGGAGCTGGGGAGCAAGTGCAGGCCTTTGACCCCCACCCAGCCCAGGCATTTTCTGCCATTGCCCAGTGGACCTCAGTCCCCAGGTGCAAAGAAAGATACAGCCGTTCCTCACCCACCCGCCCCCAGAGCTGCCGTCCCACTGGGAACACCAGGTGATGCTGAGGCTGAGAAGACCCTGGCATGGCTCCGGCCATACCCTAGGCCTGCCAGCAGCTGGTTTGCAGGGAGCAGGTGGCTGCTCAGGCTCATCCCCTGACAAGCATCCAGCAGGCCAGGCCTCACTGAGTGCCCCCGGTGGGGGCGGGGGGGCCTGTGTCCCTCACTCACTGGGAACTGGTAGGAGGCTGTGAGCTCCACCCACCTTTGGAGCAGCCTGGGGGTGTCTGATGGAGGCCTGGTCCTGTCTGCTCCACTGAGCTGCATTCTCTCTACACAGATGGTGATACCAACCACAAGCAAGGGATGACAGGGCCAGTGGGTGTTGCCAGGAGGACTTCCTGGAGGAGAGGGCTTCAGCATGGGTTGAGAGCCTGACAGATGCTCCATCCAAGGGATGCTCCAGGCCTGGGGAGACAGATACAGAGGGAGGGGCACACATGGAGTCAGGCCAAGGAGGCTGCTAGCAGCCTCCTTGGGGGGCTGGGGGGGTTGCAGAAGGAACAGTGGTGTTTGGGGCAGCTTTGCCAGGTAGTGGTTGTGGTAGAGGGCGTAGGCATGGGGAGGCTGAGGCAAGCAGGCCGGGGGAGGTGAAGGACACAGGAGCTGGATCAGGGCTGGGCAGTGAGAAAGAGAACACCCAGGTGTGCTTGGGGCGGGGGGGGGGGTCACCGACAAGCAGGGGATGTCTTAGGGCACCTCTGGGCCTCCCCAGACTGCCTGCCCTGTGACTGTCCAGGCAGCCATGTGCCTTGACCCCCCCCCCCGTGCCCCCTACATTAGCCAGACTGAACAGGGCCGCGCTGGCTTCTGGCTGGGCCCTCCTCCCAGCCGACCCCCACTTCCACATGACTCCCTGCCCCTGGCCCTGGCACCCAGTCACCCTCGCCACCCTCACCACCCGCTCCCACCCTCTCCCACCCTCTCTGGCTGCCGGTTAGAGCTTACAGAGCGCCTCATCCACCCCATGCCCTGGTCAGGGCCCCTCTTTGCAGCTCCTGCTGGGGTCGGAAGCATCGCCCCTCCAGGGTGTCCCTCCTGCCCTGGTCCGAGAGGGGCCCCACACTGGCCTACCTTTAGTCTGGACCGTGCACCGTCCTGCACCCACAGATCTCCCTAGTCCTGAAGGATGGAGCCGGGAGGGCAGGGTGCTGTCCGGCACCCTGACAGGCAGCAGAGGCGGCCACACAGCGCTGTCTGCTGCCTGGCGAGAGAGGTCCAGGGGTTCCCTTGTAGCTGTGCAGGTGGGGTGTCCTTTTGTGGAGCATTTCCCAAGTCCCCTGCATCTTGCCACCTGGCACCCTGAGTATGCTGCTGGCCCTTTAAAGCAGAGCAGGGGCTGGCTTTAGGGGGGAAACACCCCAGATTTCTGCCATCTGTTTACCAGCCTGGGCCAGGGAGCAGGACCACCCCAGCCCCCGACAGGGGCACTGGAAGGGCAGGTGGAGCCGGGCATCGATTGCTGTAACCTGATTCCGCGGGGGAGGCGGCAATGACAGCGGCGGTGACGGCTGGGGGAGGAAGCAGCCTGCAGCTCAGGGCTGGGCCAGCCAGAGCTGAGGCTGGGGCCTGGGTCTCAGTCGCAGCCTCCATTCCTGGACCATCTTTTTTTAATGAGCTGCCCAGGCTTCTGTAACGCAGGACACAGAAAGGCAGGCCCAGGCGGTGGAGGCCAGAGGCCTCAGCCCTGCCCTGAGCCCTGGCCCCCCCACTCTTCTGGGCATGAGCGGGCAGCCCTGGGGCCCCGCAGCCCCCCAGCCGGGCAGGGCTCTCCATGCAGCTGGTGCTGAAGATGGATTCCAGCCCAGACAATGACAGCTGGTTGGAGGACCAGTGGGAGCGCTGGTCGGTAGGGTGTGGGGGCTGGTGGGGCTGGGGGAGGCTGGGAGGGGACAGCTCCGTTGAGCTTTGGGTGTCTGTTGGGTCTGACTGAGGGGAGAAGTGAGGGGTGTGGGCCTTGGTTTCCCTGGGGGCTGGGCCATCACCTCTCCTGGGTGACCTTGAACTAGTGGTTTCACTCTGCTTCAGTCTCCTGGCCTTGTTTGGGGAAAGGCTCAGGATCCCCCCCACCCCCCAAGCCTCTCCAACAGAATTCTCCCAAATGTCCCACCCACACCGAACCAGGCTGTGTGCCTGGGGCTGGGGATGAGCAGGTGCAGGGGGCAGGCAGGCGCAGCAGGGACTGGCACAGCCCTGCGGGCTGGGCTGGGGGCCCAGGCCCAGGGCCCTGGGGGAGGGGGGCGGGGGGGCCTTCACTCCAGGAGCGCCCTGCAGAGTTCTGGGGCTAAAGGCACTGGCTCCCCCCTGAGTTCGAGACACCTCCTGGCCCAACCTAGGGCCTTCCCTGGCTCCAGGTGCAACCTGTTCCGGTCCGCCTGCTGGCCAGGTGAAGGTTCTGTGGTTGAAGAGACCAAGGACACAGAAGGGAGGGGGCTAGTCTCTCCTTGAAGCTGCTGCAGCTACCCAGGGTGACACCGGATTTCTCTTCACTTGCTTCCAGGCCTCAAGAGGATTTCTGGGCGGGTGGGGCTGGGGGCTGGGCGCCCTCCTGGAGCACCTTGCTCCTCCTGGCTGCAGGATCGCACAGACAGCCCCCTGCGCTAGGCGGCTGGCGGAGTCTCGTCTCCACGCTGTGTTCTCCAGGGGTGAACCAGCCTTGGCACCTGCCTTGACCAGGGGAGGCATTTCTCTGGCAGAGCGGAGCCTCTGACCAGCTGGCCTTCTAGGCACTGCCTCCTGGTTGGCAGCGGGGTGGACAGCTCCCAGCCGGATGGCACTGGAGGAGCCTGGAGCCTCCCTTTCCTCTCCACCTTAGGAGGCTGCCCTTTGGCCTGGACCCAAAATTCTTTCTCTGCCGGCTAGTTTTCCTTTGCATTGGTACAGATGGACCTTGAGTTTCATCCTCTGGGAGCTGTGATCTGCTTTCAAGGGGCTGCCCTTTGGAAGAGATGGCATCAGAGGGCCAAGCAATCCCCCTGGGTTGTAATGTTGGCTTCCTGTCCCCACCAGGCTCACCCACGACATTAGCCTGGAGGAGTTTGAGGATGAAGACCTCTCAGAGATCACCGACGAGGGTGGCATCGGCCTGCACTGCAAAGACACGCTGTCCTTACGGGTAAGGGGGAAGCTCTCAGGAGCCCCGCTTGCTTGGGGTGGCAGGGGGCGTAGGGGAAGGAGTGAGGTCGGCCCCCTATTTATAAAAGGTCTTTCAGGGCCTCCTTAAATAAGATCATGTACAGGAAGCATCTAATATAATACTTGGCACATCTTCAGTGCTCAATCAGGAATTTAAAAAAAATTTTTGGCCAGGGCCTAAGGTGGGAGGCAGCTCCTTCAGCCCGCCGCAAGAAGGGAGAGGGCAGGAGGTCTTGAGATGTAGGGCAGTAGCAATTAGGGGCTAGAGGTAAGGGAAGACTCAGGGTTACCCTGAATCCGAGGGAGCGAGGGAGCAGCCTTGGCAAAGGGCCTGAGGCAGAGCAGGGTGGAGTCCAGTGGAATCTGCAATGCTTTGGGGCAGGAGAAAAGAGCCAAGGCGCTCTGCGCTGCTGTTGCACCAAACCACAGGCCTCCGGCCCTTTAGCGCAGTCCTAAAGGCCGCACTGAAGGGTCAACCCAGCTCTGCTGCTGCTTTGGGCTCTCGGATCCCCAAATCTCAGAATCCTGCAGGAGGTCCTCCTCAGCATCTGGACAGCCTGGGTTAGATGAGGACCCCCCGCCCCCGCCCCATGTGTTCTCAGAACTCGAGGAAGCAAACTGCCAGCCAGCAGTGGAAGGCACACACAGGCTCCCTTCCTCCCCCAGGAGGCTGAGTGGCCAGAGTAGCTAGGTGACTGGAGAATGGGTGGCAAAGGTGGAGTGCCTGTCTGTGCGACATCCCGCCCCAACCCCCCGGGGATTCTGTAAACTCTGCCAGGCCAGAGGGAGCCAAGGGGCAAAGTTATGTCTCCAGTATCCAGTATCCTCCACCCTCCAGCCAGGCTAGGGAGCGATGGCTCCAGGAGCTTCTTATTCTAGATCCTGCTCTAGCTTCTCTCGGGTCATACATCTGCTCCTGACTGCCACGCTGTCCTCCCCCAACATGCAAAGCCTTGCAGAGCCTGGTCCCTCCTACCAGCCTTGGCGGGAGGCAGGGCTGGCTGGGGGCGCCTTAGACTAGCTCGAGGGGACGTTCACACACACACTTGCCACAGGGTCGGGAGGTCAGCGGAGAGGTCTGGAGAATGGGACCTATCAAGGGGGAGGGGGGGATTGGTGCCACTGTCTCGTGCAGGTGTCCCCCACTTGCCCCTCCCCCTCAGCCCTCCTCCGGGTCTTCTGTGCGCACTGCGGCCTTCCCGCAGTTCTCTCCTGGCTGAAGCTGTTTTCCTAGTTTTCCTCTTGGCTCCCATCGAATACTAGCCCCACCTCCCTCCCTGTGGGACCCGCACTCCTTGGCGACCCTGCGTCCCCATGGCAACAGCGGTGACCTCACTCAGCTCCGCTTACAACCCGGGTGAGGTCATCGCCCGTTGCCAAGGGAACTCCGGGAGGGCACAAATTCAGGAACGGGGGGCGCGAGCCGGGGAGCGGCGTGGGCTCTCTTGGACGCCGACTGCGGAGCGCAGCGGCGGCCTCGCGCGCCCTCGCAGGGGGCGGGCG